GGCGGAGGGAATGGGGATTTTGCAATATCCTTCCCCCAGATATGGCGGAGGGAATGGGGATTTTGCAATATCCTTCCCCCAGATATGGCGGAGGGAATGGGGATTTTGCAATATCCTTCCCCCAGATATGGCGGAGGGAATGGGGATTTTGCAATATCCTTCCCCCAGATATGGCGGAGGGAATGGGGATTTTGCAATATCCTTCCCCCAGATATGGCGGAGGGAATGGGGATTTTGCAATAGCCTTCCCCCAGATATGGCGGAGGGAATGGGGATTTTGCAGTATCCTTCCCCTTCCGCACCCACCAAGCCACAGAACCGGTAGTAAAAAAAAATTGAATCTCACCACTGGGATTGCCTATATGCTGCGTCTGCCATTGAATGGTACAGTTCCTCTTTCTGTTCTCCTCCTAGGGACTTCCCAGGGATTTGAACCTGGGCTCTTCTTTTATGCTCAGAGTGGCAATCACCTCCGTACAGAAGATTGGATTGGCATCTATCATTCCCTAAGTAGGAGTCATCTTCATTGAACCGTTGCTTAATTAACTGCCATTTAACCTGTACAAGCCACCCTGAACAATTGAAACCGTGTAAGGTCTTTAACAAGAGGTGTGTACAGCAAACCGGCTATTCAGGCTGAACAAATGGTGTACTCTTTTTTTTGTTGTTTTAATTGTAGAGACAAGGGCTGAGATAATTGTTACTGTTCTATCTAGCTTTAACCACTCTTTGTAATTTGGGAAGATTATAAAACCACTAAACCTCGCAAGTCACGAGTGGGGGAGATTATTGATGTGTAAAGGTCCATGATAAACTACCCTGGCTGTCTCATAATTGCCTTTCTCACAGCTTTCAGTTCGGCTCTTATTGTTCAAAATTCAACAATGGGATAGAAGTATTGCCGGGCATTTTTTTATCTCTCTATTCTTTCACTCTTAATTCTTTCTTTTTTTTATTGTTTTTCTTTTGAATGAGACACATGAATCTGGCCAACCGAAGAGGCAGGGATCTGTAAAACAAGTGCTTTAAAAAAATTTTTTTCCTGCTCTAGATCACAAACTTGGCAACTTGATGTGGGGATGCGAACACCAGAATTTCCCAGCTAACCATTCGATGGAGGTCTTTTTACTTTAACTCCCCTTTTGTAAAGCTAACTTTAGATGAATTATAGAATAGAATAGAATAGAATAGAATAGAATAGAATAGAATNACCCTGGTCACATCCACCCTGGCCCCCGGAGGTCAAACACAACCCTGATGTGGCCCTCAATGAAATCGGGTTTGACACCCCTGCAGTAGAGAGCCTCTTTCCTTTTATTTCAAACAAGATTTAAAGTGGGATTTTGCTCTTCCTTGTACAAAGCTCTCCGGGAAACTGCCCAGAATCCATACGCTGGATTCCTTCCCCCTCAGCTTCTTTCCACCTCTTAAATCTTTTCCATAACCAACAAGCTTCTCCCCCAAATTCAGTCCCCCTCATAGTTTTCATTGGAAGAGCCTTCCCTCTTCCCTGAAGTGGCCAGCGAGAACTTCTATTCAACCTTCCTTGTTGTAGAAAACAGCAGCTGGTCTCCGAATGGAAAATGCCCAGCGGTTCATTTGAAATGACTCATCATCAACCAGCTCAACAACAACTGATCGGGCTGGGATTTCTTGCTCTTTCAGGTCTCTAACCCAACGCTCCACGGCTTCTCTCCTGAAAGGAAAACCCGCCAGCCGTGGGCTTCCTTCCAAAGGCATGTTTTATTCATCCCCGGTTGATAAACGGGCTTCTCCTCCATTCTCCTCTTTAACGTGTTTTCCCAGATAAAAGTACCTGAAGGTTTGTTGTATTTTCAATAACCGGCCTTTCAAGTCATCTCCTGCTCACCTCCCCTGCAGCAATGCTTCAGAACTTTCTCTCCTATGGAGTACCGAGGTTCTTAAATTAAGCTTCTGCTCTCCCACCATGGGGAGCTGAGACTCAATCGCGAAGGCCTGCTTTTTCAATCCAAGAGCTGGATTTTCCATTTCGTTCTTTAGAAGTGGCTGGGAACAGAGGCATCTCCCGGTATCGTCTCTCGAGGGCTGGTATCAGATCTACTTTTCAGTCTGTTCACCTCTTATTTATATAGGCTTAGTCTAAACTGGGGACACAATGGCTCAGCGGCTAAGACGCTGAGCTTGTCGATCAGAAAGGTTGGCAGTTTGGTGGTTCAAATCCCTAACCCTCCATTCCTAGTAATGGAGTGNTGGACCTGATTTGATTTCTTTTTTTGTGGTGGTTGTTAAGTGAACAACACAATCATTAAGCTAATATATGTATTCCAATGGGTGTGTTTTTCTAGAAACCGCCTGAAGCACAAAAATAGCAACCATTGTAAATAGCAGTAGCACTTAGACTTATATACCGCTTTACAGTAGTATTACAGCCCCCTCTAAGCAGTTTACAGAATCAGCATCTTGCTGGGTCCTCATTTTACCTACCTCGGAAGTTTGGAAGGCTAAGTTAACCTTGAGCCAGTGAGAATCGAACTGGCAAACTGCTGGCAGCCAGCAGTCAGCAGAAGTAGCTTACGGTACTGTATTCTAACCATTGGGCCACCACAGTTCTTCAAATTGCAGTCATGTGACAATGAAACACTGCAATCAGCCACAAAATGAGCTAGTTGCCAAGCATCCTAACTGCGGTCATGCGGCTGTGGGGGAGTGTATGCAGCCATCAGAACTTGGGTCATAAGTAATTTTTGGGGGGAGGGGCGCTGTCATAACTTTGAATGGTCACTAAGTGACCAAATGTAAATCGAGGACCACCTGTACTGTGGAAGCCCTTAACTAGTACCTTGAGGCCCTGGATAGAGAAAAACAAGCTCAGATACAATCCTACCAAAATTAACTTTTTTGCCCCCGAACATTTGAACATTTTGACCCATTATTTGGGGAATCCAAGAATCCCAGTTTGTGAGTTACTCTGGTTAAGTATAAGACGTCCTGTTAATAGCTATCTTAAATATTATTGTGTTTTGGGGGGAAGGGTGTTGCTTTATGCCTTTGTCCTACATTTTAATTTTGTGTCATGCCATTAATTGTCCAAGATTTTTTCAAACTGCGCTGGATAATAATAGCCATTTTAGTTCTGTAAATGTTAACTTGTGTTTTAATTTTTTTTAAATAAACTAAAATCTGGAAAAATTATTTATTGAAAATAAGCATACCTGTTTCACTGCTTTGAATTCCATTTGCAACTTTAATGGCGCATGTAGCCCTTGAATATTTCTCAGAGTTGAAAAATTCATTTTATCTTGAGTTAAGGAAAACTACCAAAAGAAATGGTGAAAACATTTTTACATTCTAGACAGTCAGATGTGAATTAACTTAGTAAAAACTATGCAGAGAGAGAATGCTGTTATTTATTTTTTTTCTCACTGAACAGGAAAAGAAAATCTCCTGTCCAGAATAAGAAAGCTCAAACATTCCTTTCCATTAACATACAGCTTTGCTATTTTACACCAACTGAATTCATGGTATCCCCATGTAATGAACAGATGGATGATCCAAATCCTACACAAATCACCCACCACCAATATATTTGGCACTGTCAAATTTGACTATTTTGAGAAGGGAAAAGAGATGTAGCTTTGCCAAACTTTTATAAGAATCTGGGTAATTTATCTTACAAGTCTATTTCATCAGTGTACAAATTTGAATATAGTGTTTCATATAATTATAAATTTCTATCACATAAAGCTTCAGACTTAAATGTCAAAAATTTCCTGAAGGTTAAATTTCCAAAGGGTAAATCAGAAATCTGACACATTTCTAAAAGTATAATTTAATACATAGCTTTTTGCTAATGGTGTCTTTCCTTAAAAGTATTCAATGTTTTAACCAAGTATATTAAGGTAATTTTTAGGTATATTTTAAAGTTACATATAGTACGAGAAGATTTTAAAAAAATTTAAAGATTTTTTAAAAATCTTAAATTAAAATTACATTAAAACCTACACTTTCTAGGTTTAGTTTATATAAATAATTAACCTAAGTATAAATTAGAGGGAACATTATGTTAAATTACATATTAAATGCCTATTTGCCTATTAGCTATGCTGCTCTTCTCCATTTCTATTTTCCAATCCTCGAATAGTAGCTGTAGTACTAATTGACAACTACACCATCTAGACTTTCCACCTATATGCTTGCACAAATGAAAAAGGTTATCCATTTAGTCTTCTCTAACGTGATATGATTGACAATAGGAATTTTATGTTCCAATGAAATTTTCAGCTTTACTCATAAATAGCCCTAGCAGAGTTCTTGTACTCTGCTATCATTTTTGCAACTTGTACTCAAAAGTATCTATTCTGTAAATTATTGGTTGTTTAGAATGTTTCAGTTAATTTTGATTTTAGTCATCAAGCCTCTAAAAGATACATTTCAGTATGGACAGGTTTTTTGCATATCTATACCTACATCTACACCTATCTATAATATTCCCTTCCACTTACATTCTTCTCTGAAAGTTCCAATGGATGAACAGGAAAAAGTTCACTCTTCACATGTGGAAAGCTGCAAACAAATAAAAAGAGATACCGCATAAAATCTTATGTCAAAGTCTTGTGAATGAAGGCAAATATACATGTCAGTCTTGTTTCCTTCACCAACATTAGAAGACATTCCAAATACAGACTTTAAATTCTAAAAGCCTGAAAATCTGACAGAAACTACAATTATTTTAATTATTTTTTTCCTCATTTTTACCACTGCAATGTTCACTATACAGTATATTTCCCTTAGCACATTTATACCACTGAAAACATTTTAATTGTATTCCAGGAATTTACCTTGAATTGTATCACCTGTGAGATAAATAGTTCTTGTAGACAGGTAATCCTTGACTTAAAACCATTTGTTTAGCGACTGTTCAACAGCAAAGAAAAAGGTGACTTATGAGCTGTTCTCACACTTATAACCATCACAGCATCTCCATGGTCACGTGAGCAAAATATGGGTGCTTGGCAACTGGCATGTATTTATGATTATTGCAGTGTCCCAGGGTCATGTGATTGCTATTTACAATGTTCTTAGCCAGCTTCTGACAAAGTCAATGGAGGCTGGATTTGCTTAACAACCATATGATTCATTTAACAACTTCNATTAGAATATTAACAGAAAAATTTGTTGCAAGTACCTGATAATGTTTGCCACCTTGTTAAATCCTTTGATGTGCTCACTGCACTTCTGCCCTAATGTATTCAAATATACAACTTTAGACATGCTAGTCACATGACCTATCAAATCACATGTGCCAAAAAGGCAATTAATCTGCAATATTTGTTGTGTGTGGTTTCTTTTGAAGTGCACTATGTAATTTGACATAAGAAATAGGTTTTTAATGGTATTTTTATTTTGCTTGGGAACTGGCAAGTGGTAGAGCCACCATGCATCAGTGATTTTAGGAGAATTTTACTATGAATAATGGAAGTGACATACACAAGGTACGGAGTGCTTGGTACTGCAATATCTAACTGCCTGCAGAGCAGGCTATTTATTATGCCTTCAGGCTGCCACTGAAGACAATGTTTGAGGTGAAATGAGCAAGAAGGGGGTAGCCTAAATGCATTATGCATTATGCAAAATGCACATGGTTTTGTATTGGCTCCATTGAACACTATGGTCTCTGGGTAATTCCATATAGGGTTGCACTTTACAACCTTTAGTGGGTTGTGGCTTTTGTATTTTTGTAAGTACACACCATTTTATTGTTGTTAATAAAAACTAAAAACTAGGATTAAAGAAGCAGTGTTCTGTTGCCCACCATTGCAATTATGCATATTTTGTAATCTTTCACATGTTTTTAATTCTTATATAAATACATTTTCCATTTGGTTTGGAAACCTTTTGCATTTTTTATGCTTCTGCGATTAAATCAAAAATGTGCATCTAATTGGTCTACAGTTACTGCTTTAAATTGCCATATAACTACATTTATGCTTCTCTTCTGAGATGTTGCAAGCACGTAAGTCATTCTACTTCTTCAGTGAGACATGAATCTACTTACCTATGTGCGAGTAATCTAATATAAAAGGACTAACTCATCCCAACGCCATAGAGCATTCAAGGCAATGAGATAAAAGCAATTCCTAGCACTTGGGTCTGCAGTTCAAGGAATCCTGTTCAGTGCCTAAATGAAAAGTACTGCGGATGACTTAGTGCATTTCTTATAACTTTTAACTCCATGTGCGTATTGTTTTGTTCTCACATTTTATAGTGTTTTGCTGCCGCATCTTGGAAGTTTGTCACATGAGAAGCACTGAGATTTAAACTGGAAGTCAGATACATGAACCATCTTCGGATGGATTTTGTGCATGGAACCAAAAATGAGAAAAACCTTTTCGCTTCCTGCCATTTACTCAGGCTGTTGAAGCTCTTTTATTCCATATGTAGAACTAGATCCTGGGAGCAATCCATTCTGGTAAATTAAATTCAGCTGTTTCTTTGGTTTCCAGTAGATTCCTATAGCTACCACTGAATGTCCAATGTGTTCCTGTTCTTAATTGATGTGTTTCACATAGCCATTGGTGGCTTTTAGGGAATAGGCAACAGATTGTTCACATCTCCCCATCGTTTCAATGATCTCACTGTCTTTCTTTCCTAATTTACAAGCAAAAGCCCCAAAATGCTTGTTAACCTGCTTGTTGAGAGTCAGTGTGTTCCATGCCAGGAATGGAGAAACCCAAGCTGAAATCCAGCCTTAGTTATGGAAACTCACTGGATGACTAGGCCACTCTCTCTCGAACATACCACTTAAAAGTATCCAATACAATAAAAATCCAAAAGCTTATAAGTAGATAATGGAAAACAGATTACAATGGTAATTTTTAATATGTGATACCTTAGATTTATTGAAGCTAGAAGTTTAACTGTTTAAGAAGCAAAAAAAGACAATTATTATCCCTGGTGTCATAACCATGAATTTAAACAAGAACAAAGATGTAGTTACTGAAAATCATGACATTAACAGGCCATGAAGACTCAAAAATCCTATTTAGGTTTTATTCCCCCACCTCCAATAAGGCAACTGCTGAGAAGTCTTGTCAGTAACTCATCTTAAAGGTGAAGGTTCCCGTCTCACGTATGTGCTAATCATTTCTGGCTCTAGGGGACAGTGCTCATCTCCGTTTCAAAGCTGAAGAGGCAGCACTGTCTAAAGACGTCTCCGTGGTCATGTGGCCGGCATGACTAAACGCCAAAGGCGCACGGAACAGTTACTTTACCACCAAAGGTGTTTCCTATTTTTCTACTTGCATTTTTACATGCTTTCAAACTGTTAGGTTGGCAGAAGTTGGGACAAGTAATGGGAGTTCACTCTGTTACGCGGTGCCAGGGATTCGAACCGCTGAACTGCCAACCTTTTTAATTGACAAGCTCAGGGTCTTAGCCACTGAGCCACCACGGCATCTTACTACCTAGCCAATTCAGTTTTTAGATGGGAACTTGTATTCCCCACACCAAGGTGGGAAGAAGAGACATATATCTGAGTCTTTGAAGTGGGTGAAGGCTGGCAAATAATTGAAGATTAATAACTAGCTAATAGCCAATTTTGCTACCAAATATTAGAAGTGGCCTGACAAAAAGGAAACTACACCCAACTTTTACTCCAACTTATCAAAAATAGGTTATTCTGAAAGCAAGAGTGCCTGCCAAGAAAATGAGGCTCAATAGAGAGGTATTATTTCAGGGAGACAAAGGAATGTATTGAAAGGCTAGTACCTGCTCTTAT